AGAGAAATAAAGAGCTCATGTCACACACTGCTTCATTTATTTTCAACTAGCAGCGCCATTATACTGACAAAACAAGTGACTTAAATTTTGGTCAGTGGAAGAATATATATATCAGATTAACTCACATTTTTGGCCTTTGTTCAGTCTCTCATGCATCTTTGTAGACTTTGTAGGCAAAACCAACACACTTTCATATGGTTGCTGTATAAATAAATACGACCTTTAGCACTCCAAAAACTGAATGAACTCATCATCAGATTTCTGGAACCCAAACTTAGAGTAACACATGATACATGTCAATGTACTCCAAATGGCTGATGCATTTCCAAACGGGTCTGCCTGTCTGGGAATCTGTGATGAAACTAACGAAGTGGAAAGCAGACGTCACAGTTTCAGTGATGACTGTTTCTTTGTGTTTCCTCTTCTTTATTACAGTGATAATATCATAAGAACTCATTAGATTTATAACCAATCAGCCAACACAGTTCATCCTTATATTTGACAAAACATAATATTTTCCCACCCAAATTACATGCACATGGTAGATTATTAGTTTTGAACATATAAGCATATACTGTATAAGCAAGCACAATAAAAGCAAAACAAATAACTGACATTGAAGTGTTTATTTACAGTGTTTCTTTGAGAGAGGGTGCTCCAAACCAATTCTGCCATTCCTCTGGCTGGCTGTTGTTCCGCGTGGTTTTCCTCTGAGGGGTAATCACAGCACAGTCTCATTCAGACACCTTCTGGTTCCAGCTGACAAAATGATGGTAAGCCATCTGCTGTCTGAGAAGAAAAAGAGCATCTTTACTGTGTCTGAGGTTTGGAGATGTCAGGTTGAGATTAGATTCACCAAAAAAACAACAAACAAAAAAAAAACTGGGGCACATCAATTACCTTTCTAATTCTAAATTAGTTATGCAATCAAAGTGTCTTCTAATGTTGCGTAGGGCTAAAATTCAGAGTTAACATCATTTGTCCTGAGAAGAAGCTGCCAAATGACAGATTTGGGGCTTTTCTGATGAGCTTGGTCCTCCTAGGAGGATGGGACATGTGCTCTTGGCTGACTATAGGCAGATGAAAGAATGTGCTGATAAAAGTGTTGAAACCTCTGTTCATTGTACTTGGAGTTTTTCTCCTTTTGACATGATGTGCGATTCCTTGTGCTTGAACTATGATTGCCACTGCAGATAAATCTTCTGTGGGCTAGTGTGTGCAACTTCCAGCAGAGCTCTTCCAGCAGAGCTCTTCACATCTCTTTAGTGGAATCTGCCGTTCTGTGACAAGAAAGATAATATAATTTGATTTATTCACACTGTTGAATCCTTTATTGAAATCATATGAAGTGTAATATGATTTTTTTTCATACTCTTTCAATAACTTTTGAAATCGTTTATGATTATGTCACAACTTGAATTATCTCTGCTTTTGAATAACTCCCAATTGATTACATGAAATGTTTGGTTGTGAAAAATTATTTTAATCATATTTAGTTAGCGCTCGGTGCAGTGGTTAGCACTGTCACCTCACAGCAAGAAGGCTCCGGGCACTCCCGCTTCCTCCCACTGCCCAAAGACATTCGGCCTAGGTTGATTGGTGACCCTAAATTGTCTTTAGGTGTGAGAGTGAGCGTGAGTGGTTGTGTGGCCCTGCGATGGACGACCCTGTACGCAGGATAAGCGGTTGACGATGGATGGATGGATAGTTAGCGTTCCAGCTTCCTCCCATTGTCCAAAGACATGCAGGTTAATAGGTTAATTGGTGACTCTAAAATCACCCTTAGGTGTGAATGTTAAAAGGAGTGGTTGTTCATTTCTATGTGCCCTGGGATGAACTCAGAGAGACTTAAATGATGTTGTAGCGCTGAATATGTGGAATAACAGACAAGTCAGCTTATCACACTGTACTGTTCAGGGCATAGTAACAACATGTACCTGTGATGAGATAATGCTCTGACCCTGAGCCAGATAAATAATGGGCTTGAGATATTTTTACTCATTTGTGCGCTCATGTAGGTCACTCTGGTGTATTTGTGCTGTTGTAACACCACCTGCAGATGATTGAATTAACCTACAGAAAGACAAGTGTTGGTTGTTGAAGGAGTTAATTTTAGCAGAATTCCCACCACATTTGGAAGAATGTGCTGATAAAAAAGTTGACACGAGTTCGACATTTTGGGAGATTACGCTTGCCCTTTTGCCGGGACTTGGATGAGAAGATCAAGACCCCTCTTGGTAAATATACAGTCAGCAGCCTGAAGACTGGAAACTGTACTTTAATGAAAGAATATTCACAAAGCCCTGATACAATGTTTTGCTCAAACTGAAATATTTTACACTCACACAGACACAGAGATTTAGATGAGAACATCGATGCCACTCCCATCTTTGCCTCAGGTTGTGCCACCCTGGGTGAATTTAGTAACCACTCACATCTTTCCGTTGGCTTTTTATGCTATCATGCTTCCTCTAAAAATTGTCTCACATTCAATTTGAACGAAGCTTTAGAGGTGCTGGTAGGCAGATTTTCTTACCTTCAGACAAAGGTAGGAGGCTCTTACTTCTTGCTTCTACTCTTTCTGCTATGCTAAGCTAAGCTAACCAGTTGTAGCCTCACATTTGCAGGGAGATACAGTATGAGAGTGGCATCAATGTTCTCATCTAAAGATAGCAAATAAATGTATACACTTAATTGGGTGTTTGTTTAACAGTATGTGATCAAGCTGTGAATATTTGGACCTCTTATGACTGAATGACTCCTCAGCAGGTGCCAAGGCAGTAGGGTGATAAATACTTTCGGGCTCATATCACTCACAGCGGCATGTGAGACTGGTCTGGAGACTGAGGAAACAAGTGTGACACAGACAGATGCATGCACACCGCATCTTCCCCATCATATCAAGTATACTTGCATATCACATTGGTCCTGCTGACAGACAGGAAGCGCGTCAGAGTCAAAAAGTCAGTCTCAACTATAGTGAGAACAAATTAAGATGGCACTGTGGGGAAAAAAGCGAGAGGGAGAGGAGCGGAAGACATAGCCTGGTTATAATTGCTCGCGTAGGCTGACACATCTGAATTTACAGGCTGCATTGGAGCTGTGCCACTCATTTAAGAGCTATGAGAGAGAAAAAAATGTATAGGGCAGATATTTTGTTCACTTGTTTCTTAATCTGTTTTAGGCCCCACCCTTTGCTTTGCCGTTACTAAATTTGCCTCGCTTAAAACGTAAGGAGCCAAAATGACACCATTATTTTGACTAGACTGTTTTTCCTCCCAGGGGGAGAGGCCAGAGGAAGTGTAGGTGACCTAGACTGGTTAACCACCGCTTCACCACGGGTTGGCTGGGGCACTGCCACCCCCGCAGCCACCTTCTGCATCCACTGCTTGCCAGGTCCACATTACTACTACTACATGCCATGACCACAAGTGGCCCCGCTCCAGCGCCAGCCTTGCAGGGTGCGTTCTTTCTCCCCATTGGTGTAAACAGTCTGCCGTCTGGCCATCAGCTGGCACGGATCTTTGTTGGGTCATATTTACAGGCCTAACGTGTGTTTGTGTATGTCAGCCTGTCTTGGGCCTGTACCAGCAGTTTGCACAGCTCTTGCTCTTCACTGCATGTGCACGACTCTGCATGGTTGTTGTTTTTGTGCTACTTTTTCTCAGTGAATTGCAACATCTCCAACCTCAAGCTCCTGTCTGGGACCAGTCATCTGAAGGCTCAGATGTTGTAATGAAGGTTATTCTGGATGCAACAGGGGGGAGAACAATCTCTCCTCCAATTAAAAAAACTAACAAATGAAAATATGGAGATTATTTACAAATAGACACAAAGGTTCCAAGACAGCACATGCATACTTAGTTCTGGGGTGACCACAGTGCACAGGGCCCCTTTCGAGAAAAGTTCTCACACACCCCTAAAAATGTCCTCCTGCTTCCAAGCACCAGATGTTGTCTGTCTACTGTTGATTAGAAAATGCAAACACACCTGGCCACAGAGATTCAAGTGGGTCAGTTTCATGAGTAAAAACAGAAAGGGTGGACATGGTAAGTCTCTTTCTCTCCCAGTGTTTGGACCCTGGGTATTATTTGGTGCAGAATGGTGTACTGTAAACACTGCAGCCTGTGCTACAGTCACACACACACCGCCCACCCCAATGGTTGTGGTACACTGCCTGAGGTGTTTCGGACCATTTCTTGGTGGAGGCAACACTCCACTCAGGCTGTGGGACTGAGACATAACACAACAGTCGGTTAGACTATTGATATCTTTTTTGTTTAGGTCTGTCTGAAACTTACATTAGGCTTTGTTACCAGTTGCTAATTCATGTAACACTTTACAACACGTTACACAAAATTGCAAATAATTATCAATGAATCAGGAATGACCTGGTAATTACTTATTTGTTAAAAAGATAAATATCTCAGAATGTAGGACTGTTTACATGATGATGGAGAGTTACTAGAGAACAGACTGAGAGATACTATATTAATGACTGTGTGACTCGACATACTGACCACTCTCTTCATGAGTAGTTCCTGGTTAATGATTAAGCAGCCACTGAGTGGCACATAACTAGCAACAATTCATTAATTACTCGTTACTTAATCATTAGTTGCTCTTTTTGTGCAACCTCAAGTAAAGTGATACATTATACTGAGTAGTTGCTAAGTAATCCTTCTTATCTCATCGAGTATAATAATAATAATTATTAAGTTTACGTGATGACTGCACCTGTGACATGCTTACAGGATTGTTTAACAAGCTCTTGTCGGTATTAGATTTTTCCTTTCTAAAATTATATGGCTGATCATAAAGGTCTGATTTACAACAGACATGTCATATCATGAAATTTCTGCTTTAATTAAAAAAAAAAACATAAACCCACATCAAATTCCCTTAGCAGCTGTTGAGTTGTGTAAATAGACAGTCTTTTTCCCAGGTTTGTGCCACACAGTGGTTGATTAACCAGGAACGACTCATGAAGAAAGTGGTTAGCATGCTGATTCATAGATATTTATGAACTAATCATTATGTCATGATTCATAGATATAGTATCTCTCACTCTGTTCTCCAATAACGATCAGATACAGTCCTCAATTCTGAGATAAACAGTAACTACAATTAACAAGAATTATCAGGTCGTTCCTGATTTGTTCCTCACTCGTTTTTCAGTAACTTCTCCCACTTTTGTGTACCGTATTGTAAAATGTTACCTTCCTTTTCTCTTAATCTTCAATTGTTTAATGTTGAAGTCAGCAGGATAAACTTTGGGGACAGCCAACGGTCATTTGGATCTTTCTGACCTTCTGACCACACTTCATAACAAAGCACGCCCAACACACACACATTTTTACCACAATTATAGTTCCAGTTTCCTGTCTTAATGTCACCTCCAGTTGCACAATAAAACAACTCATTCAAATCCAACTTTTAGAAGAATTTTACATTCAAATGAGTTCACGTGTCATGTTACATAATTCTGATCATTTTGCGCCAGGAGCTAGCTGAAGTGCTGAATAAAAAGCACTCTCTTGAGGAGTCTGGTGGAGAAACATAAAGTGATGACTCATTTTTAAAAGAATAATAATCTCATATTTGCACATGGCGAGACACAGGGCCTGGTGGTGGTCTGCACCGCTGCCAAACGTTCCATGTTTCTTCTCTGCGGCGATGATGGAGGTGGTAGTGTTAGTCCCAGTCGAGACGGTGTCAGACTTTCCTGCACAGCTGCTGTGCTGAAGTTTTCCCCAGTGTCACCAGAGTGACCATCATCACGCCATTCTACGATGCTTTTCAGCAGACTACAAAGAGCTTCAATGACCCACACTCTTGTTTTTGTGCTTAGACAGTGTACGCATATGTCTAAAGACAGAATTTTGTTGTGTTTTTAATTTAATAAGGCAAGTGTGTCCCTGAATTTCAGTATGCCAGACTGTGCACACGCATGCCCTCACACACATAATGGTACTGATTACTTACTGTTAATGTCACTGTTGTCCATCATCTTCAGTGTTTCTTCACTAACAAAATGGCCAAAACTTAACTCCTCTCTAATTCAACATGACACTTTGTGACACTTTGTGAAGTTAAGTGATGATGTCACATTTTCCACTTACATTGCAAGTTTTGGTACAATAAGATGACTTATTAACCAAAAATGTTCTCTTTTCTTCCCATATCAGCAAGTTCGTTGCCATACTTGGGAACTGCATGTGATGCTTTGCACCATTGAGTTGACTCTACATTTTCCACTCAACAATAACAATCAAATTAATATACATACTTACTGAAAAACATAAATTTGTGGCTTATCCAATATGTTATAAGTTAGGGCTAGTGTCCACTTATAAAGGGGTTCAACACACACATGCAAATATGTTCAGCTTTGCATCACACTGGTGATACATGAATAGATGTGACACAACAGTGACTAAAGTTGTTAATATTTTTGATTTGAGTATATAGAATAGCATTAATCTAAGTGTTACTGGTCTCAGTTTGAAAGGTATGTCTGTGCACAAACATACACTGTGTGGTCAGACGACTGGTGGTTTGGGATGTGGGGGAAGAAGGAGCGAGAAAGGAGGTAAGGGGCAGTGAGTGAAAGTGGGAGGAGTGTGTCTGGGTGTGGGACTGTCATCCCATTGAGGGGAGTAGCTGTGGTGTTTTGATCAAAATCCAGCAGATGTGGGAGAGTGAGAGAGCGAGAGAGAGAGAGACAGATTTCCACCCACCCAACAAGGAGACACACTCATAAACAGCAGGCAGACGGAGTGAGAGTCAGAAAGACACAGGATCCCAGGGCAGCAGGAGTTCAAACAGCGAGGCAGACAGAAACAGAGTTTCATTCTGGGAAGATGTTTTGTTAAAAGGGAGGAAAAGTCACACAGACACATTCACACTAATAAACATAGAGTGTGCTATCCAGACAGACAGGCAGGAACACAAGATATACTACCATTAGCTACAGAGGAAAAATCTAATAAGGACACATTTAGTAAACTCTCTCTCCCCTGTCACACACATACACACACACTGAGTGTGTGCTACCCAGCGTGAGGAGCAGGGCCGATCGACCCCAGCAAGTGGAGCATCAGGGAGGAAGGAGCAAGCAAGTGGATGGATGCCTTTTGCAGACTCAGTGGTCTGGACCCTCTGTGGGTGAGTTTGTGATGTGTTCACTGACCCTGAACTCACATTTATTTGTGTGTGTGTGTGTGTGTGTGTGTGTGTGTGTGCATCTTTTTTTCCCCATCATGTAGAATCATAATCCAGTTCAGTTATAAAGAGTTTAATATTTAGGGTACATCAGGCAAGTTTGTATTGTCACAGAATTCATGTTCATTTCATATAAGCCGATATCAGTTAGGAAAAATGCATGTAAAAGTTTAATGATGAAAAATGATCATTCACTGTTGTTTATGTAAATGTACGTAAAAACAAATGCCCAACACAATGAAATAATTATTATATTTTGCTTACTTGCTGTGTTAATTTGTTTAATTCTGACCATTAATGTGATTTAGTCATAAATGCCATTAGCATTAGCCATATTAGCATACTGTTCTTGTGCTCATTAGCATTAGACAGGTTTTTACTGTTCACTACTGAGTAATAGAATGAAATACATAACAATATATAATAATATGCTTGTGTGTAGAAGAGGAAGAGAGGAGATAGGTTAATCTAAAATGTTAGCTGGTAGCACTCAGCAGCACAGGAAGAAAATCATAGCATACACTGACCTTCTCAGGTTGCAGCCTCTACATACGTGAGTGCATTAGAAATCTAATCTAAAGTGAGCCTGAATGGGAGAATTAAACTTTGATGCGTGTCAGAGAGGTGTTTACTGTAACTCTGTTCTGTGATTCAGCACAATGAGATGCTGAGAAGTGGAGATGCGTCACACTGAGTGAGCTTCTGCTGTTGGAAAGGTTTCTTAGTTTTGTATATTAGCAAACCTCCACATTCTGAGTCCCAGCTCGAAAGTGGCCGCGATCCAGCTGGAAAGCCAAAATTATTAAATACACTCGCTCCCAACTTGCTTCTTTCCCCCTCTTCCCCTCTCTCCCTCTCTGTTTCTGTTTCTCATTATGGCTCTCTGTTTTTGCTCCTGCAAAACCTCAAAACAACCAACTTTTGTGAGAAAGTGAAAGTAAATTAACTCTCTTGCTCGGAAAGTTCAAAGTACAGATGTGATGTTCTCCGATACATTATGTCTATCACTAAGCACATAGGATGTTTTAACAGATGTTTTTGTCTCATGTTGGCTGCAAAGTAACTTCAGTTACGATATTAACTTTAGTAATCAACCACACACATACTTTTGGAACAGCGTCGTTGCTTACTCATTGGTCACAGCCTTGGTGTAGCGATGGGGATTTACATGGCTTTAAAACTGAACTGAATCTAGCTCAGCAGAAGAGGTTTGATCCAGAAACACATAGCGCTTTAGGGTGGACACATTTTAAATCCTGTAATTTGAAAAACAGAACAAGGTCTAGCTGAAACAGTAGAAAAAGTGATTGGTGCCTTCTAAAAATGCCTATGTCCTCACCTCATACATGCTACATACTCACATTAGGTGCATAATGCTGTTTTCCTCACGACACCATTGTAAGAGTTATTTTGTTTAACTTGATATTAGGCACCTAATTGCTTCATCAAATATAGAGAATGTAAAATTGGACAATCAGCAAATATGCAGTACAGTAAGTCTCTACTACTTTCACATCGCTGTGCTTGTCAGGTATAAATAGACACCTTGAGGCATCCAAGCTTTTGGCATCTACTAGTTTACTGCAACCACCTTGGCAAAGGATGAGAAACTGCGCAAGAAAGTGCTTGGAGAGGGTTTGAAGTTGTATTTATTTATTAAAAATAAAAGTACTCTGTTCATCTGCCTGCCATTGACCGCAGAAGTCAGAGGGATCTGCGAAAATAGCCTCCCACTCACTGCCTCTCAAAAGATTTATCACTTAAATGGATTTAGGTACATCACCGCTCACAGAGAGCGCCAGTACAGTACGTGCAAAATGGTGTGTTCATTACAAGATTTATACGTGAAACTTTAGTGACCCAGTGGTGAGGCAGGAAAAACTCATTTGAACAGGTCGCCTACAGTCAGACTACTATTCAGACCCTTGTGGCTCCAGAGGTGGGAAACACTAGCGATTGAAGGTAAACTTGAATCATCATTCGTGTTGAGACATGCCCCCCTGAGCAGCAGCATCTATCTGCGTGAAGTGCGTCTAACCGGCCGTGGTTCACTGGCAGGGGTGTTGGTGGATGCTCGTTACATAATGATCCTGCAGCTGCCACCAATTGTGGCGTCTCTCTCTCTCCTGTATCCCAGTTGGGAGTCTACCAGCAGGGCCAGACTGCTCCGCCATGCTAGAAGCTTTAAACCACTTCCTGTGGTGACTCCGCAGGGCAGCCTCGTTAGCACAGCCAGACACCCTGCCCCTCATTAGGCCAGTGAGGTGATAAACAAGGGAAGCAAGACAACAACAAGCCACTTAGCTCCTCATGGTTTTTTTAAAGAAAAGAGAAGCTATCTTGCTTCTGCTGCTGTTATGTAATATCAAGGTTTTGGCAGCATTTGCCCAACACACCTCGTCTGATTTGGATTTATGTTGTTTATAGGCTTCATTATTAGTATAATCCTTGACCTTACATTTTACATTGTCCTACTCAAATTAGGAAACAAGCCAGAGACGTGGTCAAAAAAATTCCCAAACTGACTCAGCTTTTAGCAAAAGGAGGTGTTTTTTTGGGCACAGACACATTTTGTGTTGACTTGCTGAGGTTTCGCTCTCCACTGCCTTGATGGATAAAAGGAAGGACCTGCACCAAGTCTGGATCCTCTGCCCTTGACCCTCACCTGCTCTGTTTCTCAGATGATGGATATAATCTCACGGTTTAACCTCAATTTCTGGCATATCATGATCTGAACTTTGGACTTTCTTACTTTCTCTTTGTTGTAGGACTGGAACCGTACGTGGTACACAGCCAACCCAGACCTGACCCAGTGTTTCCAAAACACAGTACTGGTGTGGGTCCCCTGTATTTATCTGTGGTTGCTGGCCCCTTTCTACTGTCTTCACCTCTACTGCCATGACCGCGGACACATTCGAATGTCTTGCCTCTGCACCGCCAAGATGGTGAGACTTCACAGACTTTTGGCAGTCTATAGTGTTTTATTGTATTGTTCAAGGTTTTTCCCATGACTGAAAGCAGATTCAAAATCAACATTTATGCTAGTTTTTCTCAACAATATCCTCAATATCAACAGATATATATTGACTGTAGATCCAGAAATTTTCTCCAATCCATCTCCCATTATTTCCTGTCAGGTGTTGGGTTTTCTGCTGGCCTCCTTTGGTTTTGTGGAGTTCTTCTACATCCTGCTGGAAAGGAGCCAGGAGATCCAGCAGCACATGGTCTTCCTACTCAGCCCCATCATACGCAGTATGACTGTGGTAAATACTGTGGCTATTTCCTGGTTTTACTCTTGACTTAAACAACCTTCATAACAAAATGCATCAAGTGATTAATCTATAAATCAAAGTCTATCTTCAACATGGATATTGGCATATGTGAGTTTGTGAATATTGCAATAAACAATTAATGCATATACAGACAAAAGTGCACTCCATACAGAGCACTTAAATCTAAATCTGTATGGACTGTTAAACCTATAGATGGCGTAAAGCTGTTGACTGGTCCCTAAATAATTGAAATAGCTTGCTTACTCTAAAGCACTTTGACAAGTTAGATAAGAAAATGAGATGTGTCCTGTTATCTCTTAAGTTTTAAGAGGTAATGAATCAGAGGGTGGAAGCATAATACACAGTGAATGTCAAGGAATCGTGTAAATGTGCATTAGTTTTACAGAATCTCAATGCATCCATGGTTTGTGTATGGAAAAAAAACTACTACTAACTATGCTATGACACTGATTTGCAGCTCAAATCGCACATCTGACATGCCTCTCTCCTTTTGGGAATATTTCAGCTTGTGTCCTGCTGGCTCACGTGTTAAAATCCAGACAAATGAAAGAAAATATAGCCTGTGTACCGTATGTTGGCCAGACACTGAAGTGCAAAGATGCACAACCATGGATACATTTATAGTGTTGCAGGCAGTGCAAATATTGCAGTACCCTGCAAACACAGCCTGTATTTGACCATCAGTCATCAGTGTGCAGGGCACATAAGTAAAGACAGTTACTATTTGATGTGGAATCAGAGTGCGCACATATGTGGAAAGTTTCAATACAATGAAAAATGCGATTGGTAGGTACTGTGCAAGTGAGAGACCACTTGTCAGAGGACAAAAATGTGTATAAACCAAAATATTTTAAATTTAGAGGCCTATTCTTTTGACCGTTGGCTCACTCTAACTTTAGTTGGACTGACAGTGCTTGTCCACTCAAGTTTATTGCATCAAGTTTATTGTTGATGCAATTATGTACTTGCATGCAAATCACTTGTCCAGTGGACTTGACTAATCATGTGCTTTAAATCAAGTTCATATGAATGACTTTTGGTTCACCTTCAAAGAACACAAAACCGCTGAATACAAAGGTGATGATACATAATTGTAGCCTATGTTAAAGCTAATTACATAGAAAGGTTCATTCTTTATATAGGCTACAGGTGTGCAGCTGGACTGGAAGTTTTGAGGCCAATTCCTTTTGTAAGCACCATTGTTCTGACCAAAACTGTATTTAAGGTGCAACATTATTGCAATGATATAGAACGAAAGAAAAGATAGAGGACAAAACATTCATCTAATTTACCTCGGAATAAGAGCCTGATGTTTTGAATAAACAAAACCCAAAACCTAAATCCCAAATTCATAGTATGCACATTGATGGTTAGATACAAATCAGTGCAAGCCCCGCACAGATATAGATGTAAATTATCTAGATGAGATATTTGTTGCAAATGTTGTTTGTCTCTTCTCCCTCCAAACATCTTGAATAAAACTATACCCCCACCCAAACCCCTACCTGGATCAGGGTGGCATGTAGGGTGGGCCACAGAACATTATTTATAGAAGATAAGGGCTGGTGTGCAATCAGAGAAATGTTTTCAGTGGCTTGTGTTGATGGAAACAGTCCTGAATGTTTCTCAGAACATTGATCCCACTCATTTTCGGCAGATTTTAAATGATACTTACAGTAGGAGCAAAGAGAAAAGGGGTGGAGCTCACAACATGGGTGGCATGGCAAGCTTTAAATGCTGTTTATCCTCAGCAGAGGTGATGTAAGAATTGCAATGCAGTACAAGGTTGCTGAGTCCAGATAGGAAGGGTTACTGTAGCCCAGTGAGCCTCTTAAGCTGACCCATAGGAGCCGTATAGCTTAGCTCACAAAGCCTCCTCTCTCTGCAGCCTTATACAGGTCCTGCACAGTCCCACTCTCAGACAACATTTCCCACCTGTGGTCTTTTCAGACTTCTGAGTAAATACCAGCACCTGTTTGGGTAAAAATACACTGAGACATCTCTTGTATCAAGGGATACAATTCAAAAAAAGTGTATTTATTTTGAGAATATCTACTAAACCATATGAAGAGCTTGTCAGCAGTCTTTTCATCTATTTGCCAGACCTATCTTTATTATAAGGATATCATTTTCTTTATGCCGATTGTAGCCACCCTCCACCATTCGTTCCCTGGGTACAGGCCTGGAACACTGTGCTCTTGTTGCTCTGACCAACTTGTTTTGTTGCCTTTTTCACTCAAGTTAATCTATGGGAACAGTTTTGCCCAAGTCAGTCAACCCACAAACGAATCGTGGTCACTATTGATGAAAAGTACACTGACTATAATCAGCAATCAGCAATACCATGACGTAAAACTCCTTTTCCTTCTCCAGCATGGCACACTTCCCATGTAATTATAAGGTATGCTTTTGTGATGGACTTAGTGCCACCCGCTGACTTGTACTAACAGATGGGCTTATGGTTTGCATTAATATGGCAAGTCAGAGCGGAAGACTAGGAATAGGAAGGTCCTTATCCTCAGATGCTGACCCAAGGTCAGCTTTACATTTTCCTCACTTATGTTATGGTTGGATTGGGGCTGATGCAGCCTCAATCTCATAAGTTTAGGACTTGCCAGCAGTCAAGGACATAAAGTTTTCCCTTGGGTTGATCGGGGAAAAATCAAGGTGGAGTATTGGAAAATATATTTAGCTTGTCAAAACTGTATTTTAGTCATCATAAAGTGCTGTTATTTGATTTAATTATTTCTTAAAGCTGCAGTAATCAATATTTCTAAATGACTATATGTAATGTATTCATAATGATGAAGCCCTGGAGAATTGTTACACAACTGAATGATGTTGCTTGATGTCAGCTGGATATTTAATTTATTTATTTATTTGATTGGGACAGTACATGTTAATGAACAAACATGGAATACATGCATGTAAACATGTCGGACTGTAGCTACAAGCTAATTTCCATCTGTAGTCCCATATGTAAATAAGCATAAGTTTGCCAACATGTTCGCAACATCAACTTTGAAAGGTGATAATAGGGCAAAGTTTACAGCTTGCTGTGTTGCCCCCAAGTGGTCAAAACTCAACCAAGGCAGCTTGTGTTGATAAAGTAAAAATATGAAAGTAGAAAACTACTCAGTTACTAACTAGTGTACTTGTGATCAGAGCATTTTCACCTCTAAGGCACATGGAATTCTTGGACGTTCATGTGCTTGGAGTTTGCATGTTGTTCCTGTGTTCGCATCCCCTCCATAGGTATGCCTTTGGCTCCTAGAGACATTCAAGTTAGGTGGACTAGAGACTCTAAATTCCCCATAGGTATGATTGTAAGTGCCTGTCTTTCCGTATTCATCCTTCAATAGACTGGCAAGTGTGTGTGTAGGGAAAATGAATGAACACACGAATAAATAATCAGTGTGTCACCACAGCAGAACCCCTGATGTTGTTTGTGTCGACCAGAACACATGAACAACACAGATATCTGTACACGTAGCCCCATAAAGTATCAGGTTGTTGATGTGAAGCGCTTACATAATTACCAGACCACTATAGTTTATAAGAGGACAGTGCTATGGCTCATCCCAAAGTAACCAATGTGGTACTCATTATAAAACCTAAACCCACTTTCTCCCCACTTGGTGATGAGCTGGCATGACAACATGACGTCTCACTTGGCCAACCACTCAGTTAGGGACCAATTATAGTGATTCAATGGCAGATGTGTGACAGCTATGAGAACAGACAGCCGTGTCCAAACACTGAATCAGTTGTATTTGTGAGAAAGCATCATAGTATAGATTTTTGTATTGTTTCTGATAATGAAAGTGTATAATAACATTAAGTAATGTGCGCAGGGCATGCGACTACCATACTTGTGTCATCTTTTATAAGCGGAAGTCAGCCACATCACATCTGCTGTTGCAACCAGGGAAATCCCAGGAACCCAAGCTCTTTCTCAAAATAACCACTGGCTGCATGAGATCATGGCTAGAACTACTCCATTTTCACTAAATATTTACCACAAAAAGAAAATAGCTTGCTTTGAAGTTTAGAACTGATAGTAGCTGTAATATTAAGCTAATTGGTATGTGAATAAGTTTGGGTTCAAAAAGTCAATTATACGTTTTCCTGTCCTTGTTGTTAGTGAAGTCCCTCTAGGCTGTTCATAAACATGTCATCACAGATTTGGGTTTTGGCTCTCTGCTTTCTGGCTCTGGGATAGAGTTGTTTCCACTCCTGTGCTCTAAGAGTGAATTCTTAAATTAAGTCTTTCTGTGTGTCTCTCTCTCTAGATCTTGGCCTTATGCATCATCCAGCTGGAAAGAGTAAGAGGCTGTCGTTCCTCTGTATTCCTCTTCCTGTTCTGGGTCTTGGCTGTTGTCTGTTCCCTGGTGCCTCTAAGAGCTAAGATCCAGCTGGCCATGGATGAGGTATGTCTTTAGCCTATTAATTAATATGGAATATTAGCACAATACCAACACCATTTAATAAAAATATCATCACGTCGTATGTATTAATATATGATGCTGTATATTCTAAGCATCCAAAAAACAGTACGGTCTATGTTGAAAATAAGGGATAATTCAGAGCCAAAGAGAATGTGTTTGTCAGGTTTGAACTCAGTGAACCTGCAGTTTTAAAACACTGTGCAGGGATATCTAATCAGATCTAATCCTACCCATAGTCTAGACACGAGACTCCAGCAGCACAGCTTGAGATACCCTGTGTCAGCAAAGAGTTTCTATTTCATCCTCCAATTTCAACCAAGGTAACCTAAAGTTAACCAAGTGTTGGAGGATGACACTGCCAATTCTGGTCAAGCCTGTGTGTGTTTAAGTTTTCCCTTTCTTCCTGTGTCTCCTGTCAGACACTGCAATCATTGTTGTATGGGGGAAGTTTCTATTTAAGCACATGCAGCCATGGGGCAGTCGCATTTGCATTTCTATAAAAACACAAACACACATCCATATTTCTGTTTTATCGTCCTCGGTGTGACATTCCCACACTGCTTGGGGGAGAGTAATGATGGCCCTGGGATAAATGCTGGTGAGACATGGCAGCCCAGGGTCAGACCAGAGGAACGTCAGCGCTGTGTTTATGGGCCTACACGGCTGTAAACACAGCCAGATGGAAATCTATGCATCCACACATAATGCAAGGCCATTTATAATTTTGACACAGATGTTTTCATTTCATACAACCACACGCGAAGAGATAGGATACACATGTGGCCGCCCATATATTTCTCCATCATATAGCTTATATCTACATCTTGATTAAGCACATTCATCTGCATTCGAATTCTTTTGTCCTTTCTTTTTCTTGGTCATGGGAGTCAATGGTACCACTATACACTAGGTAGGCCTACTTCATTAAAGACATTAAATACTGAAATTAAATGGTATGCTGCAGTGTCAGATTTGCCGAAAATACAGTGAAAGTTGGACCGGAGATCATGAATACAGCTACAAAAATCAACAAGATGGAGTAAGAAGAGCTGCTTGCTGCTTCAACATTTAGTAGAAATAACATTAAACTTACCACTTTCTTGCATAGAGTTAGATGAAAAGATAGATACCACTCATGTCTGTACAATAAATATGAAGTTACTGCTAGCTAAAGCGAATTAGCATAGCTTAGCACAAAGACTGGAAACGGGGAAAGAGCAGGGTCATTCCTATGTTTACAACATTTCCCCACATTTAAATTAGACATAATGGTAACATGACAAAGGGTCCTATGTTTTTCTAGAGTTAGGGGTAGGGGCAGGGTTGGGGGGGGACCTTGGGAACATCGATACGTTCATGAAAGAGCTAGTCTGGCTCTGTCCAAAGGTAACAAAATCCGCCTAAGGGCATATCTAAATCTCGATAATAAACAGTTAATCCGTACAAAAAAAGTAGAAATAAAACAGTGTAGGGTTATGTGTCTGTCTGTTTTCTGGTCACTTTTTTTTGTATGAATTAAACAAGATATAATTTGTTAGTGAGTTTCAAGGGGTCTGGTAGGTGGATTTTGTTGCCTTTGGAAAGAGCCAGGCTGGTTGTTTCCCGCTGCTTTCTTGTTGCTAAGTATTCTTGTGATGGTTTTAAAAACTGTAGAGTTGTAGCACAGCTCAGCGGTTTGTCCCTCTACTGTCAGCTCACATTTACATATTGTATTGACACATTTTGTAAATATTTATAAAGAAAGTGTCTAATTCACATTGCAGTGTTGAAGGCTCAAGTTGACCGAGTTCATGTTTGTGGACTCTTGGCCATTCTTAGTTGCTTGACCTACATTTTTGCCACCCACTCTCTGGCCATCATCACCCTGTTTTTTTACTGTGTGGCCTGATCCATTCGGCCCCTTCGTATCTCCTTTCTGGGCACAGCACTAAACGTTACAGAGAAAATCACTTTACTGTTTACCATGACTCTGATTCTCATGCACACCCTACTGTTGCACAACAGACTGGCTGTGGCAGACCCAGTTCTCTGAGTGGTTAATATTGCAGCTAATCCCTTGACTGAAAGCAAGGTTGCTGGTTTATGTAAAAACACAATCTCCCTATTTACAGATATAGGCTATTAGCGTGACTGAGAGGCAGGTTTAACTGTCTCGTCATTTATATAAAGTACACCATTAAAGACTTTTGGTTTTCACCCTTGATTTAGCATAAAGGGCTAAAATAAGCTTTATTGTGCCTGTGATCTTGGTGTATAAACCACATCCTCTGCTATACAATGTGTAAGCATGGGAAAAGCCATGTAATGAATATTTTTGTGAAATTGTTGTTGTGAAACTACACACAAAGCCACAGTGAAGTGTAATACACTGTATGCCACAGGATGTTGTGATTTGTTAAGTTGAAAGAGATGAAAAAAACAAAACACATTTGGATCTTGTCAAAAATCCCTAAAAATGTCCCAATGTAAGGACAATGTTATTTTTCTGCGGTATGTGCACGGCCACAAAAGCCAATTAATTGGATCCCTTAATTAAAAGTCTAACTTGCGCAACTAGTCTGGAATAGCTTAAAACGAATAAACTGAAGGAACTCTAACTCAGCTCTACAGCAGTCTCTTTAATCTGTGTTTTCTTATTTCGCAGGGCATTGCCTCTGATATTGTACGATACCTCGCCTTCTTCTCCTACTTCACAATCCAACTGGCCCAGCTCTTCCTGTGCTGTTTTGCTGACCAACCTCCAGAAGGAAAACCCATCTTGGAAAAGGTAGGCAAAGGAGAATGTATCCCACTTCCGTCAAAAAACGTTCACTGTGAGCCACAGGAAATGGTTGAGCTGTCTTGTGGTTTTCAACTTTTGTTGTTAGGACAGTTTTCCCTTTTGGAGGAAATGATGTGATTCACCTTCCTACCTCCTTCCTTTCCCACTCCCGCCTCACCGCTTTAGCTTCTTATGAAGGGAGTGTGAATGAGTGCGGCTGCGTGTTTGTCGTCATTCTCCTGCATACCATCAACACGACTGGATAATATGTGACTCCACAACAGCACAGGCATTACCTAATGCAGATCTCACTATCCCATCAAACATGTGCCTGGCAACGTTTTTCGAGCTCAAAATAGCAAGTCCGGCTGACAGGTGAATGAAAATGAGCATCTAATCAATCAAACAGACAGGGCACTGTAATATTTCCCTGGTTATAAACAATCAAAATAGCTGGAAAAGTCCCTAACAAGCTCTTGGCCAGTGGTGAGGAGGCTGAGGATGCAGAAGCCGCAGTCTGGCGTGGGGGACACACCCATTGGTCGCTCCTTGGTGTGTCCTACTCTTCTTCCTCCACCTCTTTCTCCTCTCTGCCCCACGCTCTGGTTAGAGTTACTCACAGGAAAAGAGGAAGCGAAGGGATGAAGAGCAAGAGTGCTAGTAATGAAACAGCAAACACCCTGGTGAGGGGGTGGCAGGGTGGAGTGATGCCATAAAGCATGCGTGAGAGGACAAACTTTCTGTTTGTGCATGCGTGTGTGTGTGTGTATCCACTTGTTAGACAGTTATGACACATTTCCGCTCTGTCTGCACCAGACCTCAAAACGTCATCTTCACCCTGCGCTAACACTGAACTCTATTTATTCTGTCCTGTGGGAGTTCATGGCTTCTGCTCCCCACAATGGGCCACCTGACTGTACAGCTTTGTCTAAAACACATTCAAAGCATTCTTTAAAAGCACTCCTCACAAGTACACCATTCAACTGTCAACGGAGAGCCTCTGTGAAGCTGTGTATGTCTCGAAAGCCTTTAAGCGCTGCGAGATTTACTGCGAAAACAACAGTGAGTCTGGTCTTTAATCTGTTGCAGAATCCCTGTCCAGTGAAAGATGCCTCTTTCCTGTCAAAGATTCTCTTCTGGTGGTTCACTGGGTAAGTTGGTTCTTCAAAACCCCTTCATTTTTAGGCTTCAGCTGACTCACTACAGCAACAGTTTGTACTTGTTTACGATAATTTGTGTGTTTTGTTGACGATCATGTGTGTGAATCATCTCCACGCTCCTTGCTCAGGCTTGTTGTGAAAGGATATCGTGCCCCGCTGGTGGCAGAGGACCTGTGGACCCTGAGGGAGGAAGACACGTCACAAAAAATCATCTCTGAGCTGGAACAGGACTGGACAGCTGAATGTGCCAAACTTCACAAGTGAGAACTCCTGAATAACTGTTAATTGGCAGTTTAACCCCAGGAATCTAGTATTGCATGCTCATAAAATTGGGAGAATCACAAAAGACAGATTAAAAACAAAGAGTCTAATAAGAATGTCATAATTACAAGGCTAACATGTTACAAGTTATTACAGTTTATCCTGAAGGAGGCAAAACTGTGAACACCAAATTCTATGGCAATCCATCCAATAGTTGTTGAGTAAAATAACAACTTCCCCAGCTCCTTTAAGACATTGTATGATTTTTGAGCGTTGTGATTGGCTGACTAATCTCAGATTTATTAACTAATAGTTGTTTCATGAATAAATATGCAGCAGAAGGCCAATCTTTGCATGGAAGAGACATGTGCAGGACATACACATGTTGTCTTGTTTCCTCTGGCTCATTCTGTTTTGCCACAGGCCTGTGATCCACCAAACAGCTCTCACTACTGTCACAGCTTAACAGCCAAAGAATCAATTCCATTTTACTGCAATGTGGCCACATGTCAGCATGGTGCTGGTTGAATTAATGACACAAGCAGAGCATGACTTAGTCCAAAGGAGTCCCTTGAGGACATATAGTAACATTATTTCAAGACAATCGCTCTGTGTTGTTTTTAAAGCTTGTTAACAGCGCTTTGAAGATCTATCGTTAAGTCCAATAATTATGTCAGTGAACAATGCTTTTTACTGCTGCTGGTGAATTCTTGCGTCCATCAGTGATGGTACGAATAACAACAGTTTTTTTTTAATAGTCTGTTTCACACTGAAGACATAAAAAGGCGCCAGCGCCATGTTGGGGCATCTCGGACACAGCTGTCTTGTCTGTAACTGCGTTTTTCTCCCTCTGGCAGGCAGGAGAAGGCCTTGGCGTCGGGTGTGGCGCTGGGGGGCAGACTGCCAGACCAGGCTCAGCTTCTCAGGAAGCTGCAGAAGAAGCAGAGCTCTGGCTTCTTCCTGCTCAGGACGCTAGCACGGAAGTTTGGTCCATACTTTCTGAACGGTACCCTGTGTATCATATTCCACGATGCCTTCATGTTCGCCATCCCCCAGGTGCTCAGGTAAGACTAAAAGCAAGGGTGCACCAAAACCTAAATCTGCTCTCACCATGAGGGCAATCTGGCAATAAACAGCTGCGGTGTGATTCGCCAATGTCTGGAGATATCAGTTTTATCTCAACCCAGTAAGCTCAGGGGAATTTGGTTTGTGGTGCAGACACCCCCCAAAATAACAAGATAATCCACAAATGTTCTTGTGTACATGCTTGCACATTCTGCATGCAGATAGAAATCATGCAGTTGCACTTTGATAACAAGGCGTTCCCAATAAAAACTGCTCATAAGAAGGTTACTATCACAAGTAACTGTGTCATTATGTTTGGAAAGAGATGTTGTTGTTGAGTTTTTTTAAATATAACTTTTTCAGTGCTTGGACTCCCACAAACCAAAGGGCATTGAGTGCACTGTATTGAGGACAGCTACCTCAGCACAGAAATTACCTGGGTGGACTGCTAGAGTAAAATACATTTAATTGTGTTTTTTTGGAGTGAACTGTCCAATACAATTTGAAGATTTAAATTAAAGAAATTATAATTTCTTAGTATGAAAATAGAAATAAACAGATTTTGCAGAAACAAAATAACGCTGTGTAGATGGATAGATGTGTAAACAACTCCTTGGTTATCACCTCCGATATCACCTTCATTGTCCTATTTTCAATGATTTGTGACACCGACAACCAAACAATAACAGAAGCTGGCAGCAGTGAAAACAGGTCATAACTGAGTTGCCACCCGCCGCACCAACCCACTAGCCAGACTGGAATGTTGTTGATGCACAATGTTGATGCACAGCACAGAATCAGTGGAAGTGTTAATTACGGTCACAGAGCTGTGAGCAAGAAAAGTAGACGAGACCACAGCCCTCTGTGCTCCAATAAGGAGGACAGGCAGAGAGGGAGAGGAGGCTCTAAATGGCAGAAATGTCGTCGGACCACAATAAGGGAGCCGCTGGCCAAGCGAGGGCAGCCCGGCCACAAGCTGAGCACTGTTGTGCAACCCGAGCTACTTTGTGTGGACCAGTCAGCCGGCAGCCACAGCGGCGCTCAAGGCCATTGGTTTAAGGCACACGATGCAAGTCAAATAATACCAGACTGAATGAAAAAACACTTTAAAAAAAAGAAATCATGTTGACAGGGTAAAAACCTGTGACTGCTGTGATTTGTATCATTCACCACTGTCCAGGGAAAAGCATACATAGAAGTGGTCATAATTCTCAAAAAATGGAACGTGTGCTGAACATCCTGATTAAGTATAAAGTATTAATCTTCTACTTCTCTTCCTCCACACAGTCTTCTTCTGGGTTTCATGAGAGACCAAGATGCTCCGCTGTGGAAAGGCTATTTCTACGCCACTCTGATGTTCCTGCTGTGCTGTCTCCAGTCCCTCTTCAACCATCAGTACATGTACACTTGCTTCACAGTGGGAATGAGAGTGAAGACAGCTGTTATGGGCTTGGTTTACAGGAAGGTGGGTAACTGTATCCATGGACATGTAGCCGCTAACCTCTTGACGCAACATAAATTATGTCACAAATGGAAAAAACAAAAGCTGTCCCGCCTTCCAGACAGGAAAACAGTACACAGCATATGATTAATAGCTTTTACCTAAGATGAATAATCCACTGAAATCTTTACGGGGTTGTAAATTTATATTGTACACAGTGCACTGAGGGCTAAAATGTCTTTGTCTCTTTTGTTGTCAATCCAGTCTTTGGTGATAAACAGCGCTGCCAGGAGGACTTGCACTGTGGGCGAGATTGTGAATCTGGTTTCAGCAGACACTCAGAAGCTCATGGACTTTGTGGTGTATTTCAACGCTGTCTGGCTGGCTCCTATTGAAATTGCTCTTTGTCTCTTCTTCCTCTGGCAGGTTTGTCGAAATGTAGTGTTTTTACAATGCCTCTGCATTTCTACTGAAAAGCCCTTGACACTGTTGTATTCTTTGTTTTATTCAGCATCTTGGCCCATCAGCTTTGGCAGGAATCGCCACTGTCATTCTCATTTTTCCACTCAACGGATTCATAGCAAAGAAAAGAAGCAAGCTGCAGGTAAAAGCTGTTACAGGAATCCTAAACACTATCCCTGACATCTGGCATGTTATTGTAGGTCAGGGATGCCACAGCTGGTTTAGATAGTGGCTGAAGAGCCGTGTGGGTGTTTGGCCTGGATGGTACATTCTCTCTTGTCCTTTTGATGTCTGCCCCATATAATGTGTTTGAAAAACAATGAAAGGGAAGGGTGGGCAGTAGGAAGACATAATTTTTCATTTCTTTGGAAAAACAACAGACGGTTCTATAAATTTGGATGCCAATTTAATCGAACTTAGTCTTGAATGCAGTGACCGCATCCCTGGCCCTTTGTTGTTTCCTTGTCATAAAAATCACTCAAATGTAACAAGCAATAAATTCTTACTGAATTAAACAAGTTCCATGATGTTCAGGAAAACTACAGCTGTAACAAGAGCAGACAAACCCATGTTCACAAATGCATGTATTTGCTTTGGTCTGGTAATTGTCACTGTGCCCCAGTTTCAGCTCAGGATAGTTTTATTTTTGATGATAAAACGTAAAAAAAAAAACCCTCTTTGTCTGCTCGACAGGAGGTTCAAATGAAGTTCATGGATGGCCGCATCAGACTGATGAATGAGATCCTGAATGGAATAAAGATCTTGAAATTCTATGCCTGGGAGAAGGCCTTCCTGGAGCAGGTTTTGGGCCACAGAGAAAAGGAGCTCAAAGCCCTGAAGAAGTCTCAGATCCTTTACTCCATTTCCATTGCGTCCTTCAACTCCTCTTCTTTCCTGGTAAGAACACTAAACTTAAAGAGCTACTAATAAAAAGGTCATAAACCAAAGTATTGGACAAATTAATATTTTTACTCGACACAACATGAATGTCTGTACCAAATTTCACGGCTATCCATTCAGTAGCTGAAAACCACAAATGTAAATCTCATGGTGGCACTAGCAGAAAAGTCATGGCATCCCCAAAGTCATTAAGAGTCATCCTCTGGGCACCATGAATGTCTGTACCAATTTCATCTTAATCTATCCAACAGCTGTTGAGATATTTTGTGTCTGGACTGAACCTTCGGACCGACCAACCAGCAGATCAACATTGCCATCCTGAGAGCCATGCTGCTAGCGTGGCAAATGATGAAATTATATACTTGTGATTCATGTCTTCAGGAGAAACGAAGGGGCTTGGGACTGAGTGCCACAGACAGGGCGGGGAAGTCAGAGAGTACTGCGAGACAGACTAATGCATTGTTGTTGGTTGTGGTCTTTTAATGAGATTTATTGACACTTAGAGACTTTGCCTTATCCCTAAAATTGTGTCTTTAAAGATCATCCATCACACAAGTTTTTGCCTGTAAAGGTAATATTTTGCATCTTTCGCCCCCACCAAGATTGCCTTTGCCATGTTTGGAGTCTACGTGACGCTCGATGATAGGAACGTCCTGGATGCACAGAAAGTTTTTGTCTCAATGGCGCTGATCAACATCCTGAAGACTCCACTTAGCCAGCTTCCATTTGCTATAAGCACGACTATGCAGGTAGGTCACATTTCACTCACGATTGCTCTGAGTTGTTTACTCCATCTATGGTGCCTGATGAGCTATATTTACGTGGTCCCATATGAGGGATATAGGTCAGTTTACTAACCACTATCTCTGTTTCAGGCTATGGTTTCACTGAGACGTCTGGGAAAGTACCTGTGCTCAGAGGAACTCAAAGTGGACAATGTCTCAAAGGCTCCATTGAGTTCTGGTAAGAACCTCACCCATATGTAAAATATTACATTGAATGAATAAACTACTATACTACTATACAATTTCCACAATTTGTTCCCCATCCTGCCTGAAATCATAGTCATAATCAATATAAGCAGCCCACAAGATTTTGTTGTTTATATCTGTGGAGTACCACAGTCTTGTATGGATCATGTGCACTGTCACTTTCTGAGTCCAGGGCTGACTGGTAGACAGGGTAATTATAGGATGTTCCCATTTAGTGGTTGAACATAAATCACAGCATCAATTCAGACATATGATTCATAGAGGAATAAAAAAAAAAACTGCACTCTTCTGTCTGTAATCTGTCAACACTTCCTGAAACAGCTTGTGAAAAGCAACAACTCTGTAATTTGTATGATTAAGTAAATTCACTTGTAATTACGCCCAGGCTGCACCCTGACGAGTAACTTCAAGGGGGAATTTTGTTTTGAAAGTTTGTTTGTGGCTCAGGTTGAAAGAACACGTCCTGTCTTCTGTGTTCATTGCAGGTTTTGTTCATTTTCCGCAATCTTTCTTTCTTGTTTAGATGGGGAAGACGTGGCGATAGAAAATGGCACTTTCAGCTGGTCTGCAGAGGGCCCTCCGTGTCTTAAAAGGTATGAGTTATGAAAAATGAATTAAAAACAATACAATAAAAACCGAGGGAGACTTACGGTAAAATTCCTTTCTTTGTTGACAGGATCAACGTCCATGTGCCACGAGGTTCCCTCGTCGCTGTGGTTGGACATGTGGGCAGTGGAAAGTCCTCTTTGTTGTCCGCCATGCTTGGTGAAACAGAGAAAAGAAGTGGGAGTGTCTCTGTTAAGGTACTGAGCTTATGTTCCATGTGCAAGCTCTATTCATAGTGGTGGGTTTCATTTAATAAATATTGACAGCCTCCCGTTTGACATCTGTCTTTGCAGGGCTCTGTGGCGTATGTGCCCCAACAGGCCTGGATCCAGAACGCCACAGTCCAAGACAACATCATATTTGGCCGGGAGAAACTGAAGACATGGTACCACCGAGTGCTAGAGGCCTGCGCACTGCTGCCCGACCTGGAAATCCTACCTGCTGGAGATGCTACAGAAATTGGAGAGAAGGTATGGAAATTCATAAATGGAAAATACATGATTTTTGTCTCCAAATCTTTTGAGTTTTATCTAAACTATAATATCTGTGTCCATACAGGGATTGAACCTCTCAGGTGGGCAGAAACAGAGGGTAAGCCTGGCCAGGGCTGTCTACAGAAAGGCTGATGTTTACCTCTTGGATGATCCGCTGTCTGCTGTTGATGCACATGTGGGTCAACACATCTTTGACAAAGTCATTGGACCCAAAGGTGTCCTTAGAGATAAGGTAAAACATCTAACAGAACCTGCAATGTGCAATTAAGTCTGTTCAATTCAGCTGCAAAGAGTCAAAACATGGCTTTACAACACTTAAACCACTTACAGGCATGTGACCTGCGCTATTGTTATCATAATAAGGAAACCACCACTTTGCTGACATTTTTTTGTTTTCAAGAAAGCCTCAAATTAGTGTTGGATTGCCCTTACATCTTATTTTTCTGACTTGTGCGGCTTGCTACACAGACCCGCATCCTGGTGACCCATGGGATGAGCTTCCTGCCGCAGGCTGACCATATCTTCGTCCTGGTAGATGGAGAAATCACAGAGAGTGGTTCATACCAGGAGCTCCTCAGCCGCCATGGTGCCTTTGCTGACTTCATCCACACCTTCGCCAGCACAGAGCGAAAAGAGAGCGCTATACAGAGAGGTGAGGAGACATTTCTGCAAGAAATTCAAAGACAAGTTCTGTCTATTGATTTTGTCAGTTTTTAAAAAACAAATGACATTAAAAATAAACTTCATTGAATGCAGCCAAGAAGATATTTTATAATATATTATAATATTTATAAACATAAGTCTAAAAAAGATTCATTATAATTACAAACCAATATGTCCTTTTCTTGAAGCTGGTTCTAGGAGATCAAATGCTCGTCTCAGCATGGTCGACTTCATGCCCTTCTCCAGAGACCTGTCACAGGAGCAGCTCATTGGGTGTGTAAACAAACGTGTAAATATTAAAACTGTCAATAGGATGTTTGGCATCCCAAGCATCTTTTCTACAAAACTGACTGGTCTGGTCTCTCCATATCCTCCAGGGGTGACACCACTAATACCAACCTGCAGAATATGGAGCCTGTGTCTGAAACAGACCTGGAACAAGTACCAGAGGACTTGGGCAAACTGACTGAGGTTGACAAGGCCCGGACTGGAAGGGTAAGGCTGGAAACGGCTTAAAATGAATTGATGAATTCACCTGTAGTGGTTATTGGAAATTGGGCATTAGTCCCTTTTTGCTCCAAAATCTATTCACACATTTATCTTTTCAAAGCTGAACGAATCAGTATTTTTATATTTACAATGGATCACTTGTATGTGGTAGGGGTTGCTCGTATTGATCACCTGATTCTACAGTTCGCCTCAGCTTCATGGAGCTTTTTAGTGTCTCATTGTTTAGCTGTCAGGCTTTACTGTTTTGGTTCTCTCTCACCGCTCTCATAGTGTGGTTTCTGGCTGCAGCAGGCAGCTGTTAGACCCACTGTACACTACCAGCTCAACACCAAACATTAGGCACACACTTAGCAACTGGCTGGTAAACATAGTGAAGCATTTAGCAAAGAGCCAGTTATTTCCTTAAGAAGTTGGTGAAGAGCAAAGCAGAACTAACAGGAGAGTACTTTTGGACCAAACTGGCTGTGCCATAACTGCTTGATGTCTAAGTAGGCAACTGTTCACCATATCAACTTAAAAGATAATATGTGTTTACAGCTTATTTTGTGTTTTTCCTCAACAGGTGAAGTTGGAGATGTACAAAAAGTACTTCAAGACAATCGGCTTGGCCATCATCATTCCCATCGTCTTCCTGTACGCCTTTCAGCAGGGGGCCTCATTGGCCTACAACTACTGGCTTAGCATGTGGGCTGACGATCCTATTGTTAACGGCACCCAGATCGATACTGACCTCAAACTGACCGTGTTTGGTGTACTGGGCTTTGTACAAGGTCAGTTAGCATCATAGTATCAAAAAAAGACTAGAAAAGATAAATACATAGGTACTTGGGTAGCTCCATTTGACTGAAATGTTGATGCTCATTTGAGGTCGTCTTCTACAAGATGGTAAAACTGAGTCGTCCTCAGCTCTGATTTAATGAAACATTTGTCCCCTCTCTCCAGGTGTCGCAATCTTTGGTACAACAGTTGGCATCTCCATCTGCGGCATCATCGCCTCTCGCCACCTGCACATGGACCTGCTGATCAACGTGCTGCGCTCTCCGATGTCTTTCTTTGAGTGCACGCCCAGCGGCAACCTACTCAATCGCTTTGCAAAGGAGATTGACGCCATCGACTGCATGGTCCCCGATGGCTTGAAGATGATGCTGAGCTATGTCTTTAAACTCATGGAGGTGTGCATCATTGTGCTGATGGCGACGCCTTTTGCAGCCGTGATCATCCTGCCTCTTGCTTTGCTTTACGCCTTTGTCCAGGTACGTTTTGAAACTCGCCACTAATGGCTTTGATTTTGGACTTTTCTTTGAGAGCATTATGTTAAAGGCAGCTTAGCAAGAGCTGGGTTCCATTACAGTGTGTTATTGGAGGATTCCAGGCTCCAAAACCAACTCTGCTGATTTTGCCGTTCACTTGTGTTTTGTTCCCCACCTGCTGACATAGATATTACACACATCCACTGTGAATTATGGGAAAGCCCTCAGTGCTCTCTTTTGGTTTCACTCGTTAAAGCTGGTGTTTTACTTTTCCACTGTGGGCTACAGAGCTTCTACGTCGCCACATCCTGTCAGCTGCGGAGGCTTGAAGCTGTGAGCCGCTCGCCCATCTACACCCACTTCAACGAGACGGTGCAGGGCGCCAGCGTCATCCGGGCCTTTGGCGAGCAGCCCAGATTCATCCAGCAGGCCAATGCGAGGGTCGACTTCAATCAGACCTCCTACTTCCCCCGATTTGTGGCCACCCGGTGAGATGACATGTGATTATTATAATGTGCTTTAATTTCATTTATACGTTCATTTGCTTAGTTACAGTTCATGATGGATGGTGATGATTACCTGAGTTACAGCGGTTGCTTTATGTTACATTCTTAAACAAAATTACTCCTTGCTTTAGTAATGAAGACACATTTTGGAACTAGACTTCCCACAGCTAAATCAGTGTTACATCCACAGGTGGCTGGCAGTCAATCTGGAGTTTGTTGGCAATGGTGTGGTCTTAGCTGCTGCCATTCTCTCTGTAATGGGTAAAAACACCCTGAGCCCAGGCATCGTTGGTTTGGCTGTGTCACACTCCCTCCAGGTAAGAGGCTCTGCCCACACACACACACGCTCGCACACATTCCCACACTGTAGCCCTGGAGGTTTCCCAATCCCGACTTATTAAAATTAAAGACAGCCAATTTCATACACCACACAACATTGTGGGAATTCACTCCAGTTGCATGTTGCATGTGACAGTTAAGAGGTTAAACTGGATAGAGCTGTGTTGCTTTGCTCAGTCAGCAAATGCATTTTGAGTGCAGGAGAGAAAAAGATTTAAAGCAAACCTCATTGCATTGGATATTGCAGGTGACTGGGATCCTGAGTTGGATCGTGAGATCCTGGACTGATGTAGAAAACAACATTGTTTCTGTGGAGAGAGTCAATGAGTATGCTGATACTGCTAAAGAGGTCAGTGTTCCCACCACATACTACATTTCACAAAATGTACTGCATCAAATCACTGCTCAGGACACTAAATCCAACATCAATAAAAAACGTTGTTATTATCTCACTCAGGCCAGTTGGAATATAGAGGGCAGCTCCTTGCCCCTGGCCTGGCCCCAGAGAGGTACTATAGAGTTCCAGGACTACGGGCTGCAGTACCGTAAAGGCCTTGAGTTGGCTCTGAAGGGCATTACCTTGAATATTCATGAAAGAGAGAGGGTGAGTCATCTTGAATGATCAAAGCTGTTTGTTGCAATCTTTACCAGTCTTAATCCTGGATCACTTAAATTGCTTAAATTGCAGACTTATGTCTTACATAAATTCTGATGAAAAACTTTTTCCAGGTTGGAATTGTGGGTAGGACAGGAGCGGGGAAGTCCTCACTTGCTCTGGGAATCTTCAGGATCTTAGAGGCAGCAAAGGGAAAGATCTTCATAGATGGAGTCAACATCGCAGACATCGGACTCCATGACCTCAGATCCCGCATTACTATCATTCCTCAGGTAAGACAGTAGTAATAACAGAAACTGAGCTCTGGCTTTCATCACATAAACTGTTTGCAATAGCTGCAATACATATCCAGTGTGAAATAAGCCATTCTAAATTGTATTAATCCTGAAACCAATCGGGACAGTTTGGTGATGAGCAACATCTGCTGTCCTCTCTCCCAGGACCCCGTGCTGTTCTCAGGCTCCCTCCGGATGAATCTTGACCCCTTTGACACCTACACTGATGAGGAGATGTGGCGTTCACTGGAGCTCGCTCACCTCAAAAACTTTGTCTCTAATCTGCCTGACAAACTCAACCATGAATGCTCAGAGGGAGGAGAAAACCTCAGGTACGCGAGTACCCTGATATGACACATTGCAGTGCAGATATCCACAAGCCATTGTTTTGCCTTGTCAGTCACTGCTATATCATTACAGGGATATCCACACAACGCTGCAGGATACATACAGGATTGAATCTAACATGTGAATCTGTCCCTCTCTCTCCAACTCCCCTTTGTCTGTGTAGTCTGGGTCAGCGCCAACTAGTGTGCCTGGCCAGGGCCTTGCTGAGGAAAACCAAGATCCTGGTTTTGGACGAGGCAACAGCTGCTGTGGACCTGGAGACAGACACACTAATCCAGTCAACAATTCGCACACAGTTTGAAGACTGCACTGTCCTGACCATTGCTCACCGCCTTAACACTATCATGGACTATACTAGGTACATAACAGTCTGCTAAGTAGTCGATATTTTGTGGTATTTAGTGGACTGACAGAAAACGTATTAAGGGCATGTATTTTAAAGTCATTTATCAAGTAAAATACCAAATATTTGATGGTTACAGATTCTCACATCTGAGAATTTACTGCTTTTGCCTTTTTCACATCACTGTAATACTGAATAGCTTTTTTTAACTGTTGGTCTGGCAAAATATGCCATGGAAAGGCATTACTTTGGGAACCTGTAACCATTTCTCATTTTTGACATATTATAGACAAGATTATTTATAAAAATTATATGATTTTCTAAAGAAATTAATGTTCAATCGCAGCCCTACAATCCACTAATGACAATTAACCAAATGCTAATCACAAGGCCAGTTATCAGCCTGGACACCCACAGCTTTATAACACACATAAATCAGGTGTCACAAAGAATGCAGGATCTAACAGCTGTCTTCCTCCTTTGTTGCTGCTTCACAGAGTTATCGTCATGGACAGAGGCCACATTTCTGAGATGGACACTCCAGCCAACCTCATCGCACATCGGGGACAGTTTTACCAAATGTGCCGGGAATCTGGGCTGGTCTAGGTCTTCACTGGGCTTCGTACCATGGTGCTGATGCCCTGGTGTACAGATGTGACACCTTGTTTGTGTGGCTCTCCAACATACGTTACATTGGGCCATTCCAAGCTTTGTGGCAGCTTAAAACGTCTCTCCAGGAGGGCATTGTCAGTGAATCTCAAGAGCAGGTGCTGACGCAGTCCCTATATGTTGGTATATAAACACACACAGACAAGCTGTCCTAAGTCAGGAAAAGACATTGTTAACCTCAGATGATGAACACTCAGAAAGATGCTACAGTGGATTGACTGTTAAGTTTTCAAGCTATAATTATTGTATATTGAGTAGGGGAGTCAATTTATTCCATGAAAGGATTAAGCCAGTGAGCTGGAATGAAAGAGTTCCGCGCATCTTAAGGATTTTCATTCTCTTTTTCAATGGGAGCTATATTATTTTTGTAGTTTTTGTAAGTGTTATAAAGCACAAGAGATATTTTTTGATGTTGTCTCAGGCTTAAATGTTGATGTTTACTCACACTTTTTTTAGCCTTGTATACCAAAAAAAGAGGCAGTTTTGTAACTGTAAATTGATATCTATTTTGTCGTCTTATCCCAGAAACTGGGACAGGAAATACTCTGACACACTAACCTTCAAAAAGGTTCACCCTGGCAAACACAGGGGAAGTGAGGTTTACAAAGCCTTCAAAATTTCAGCAGGAAGCAGCCAATTTAGAATTTTTATATGTCAGGGTAAAAGAGGAAAACATTGAAATGAGCCAAGACATTAGCAGTCGTCCAACTATGTTGTGGCTGTTGTGTATTTCTGTCAAAGTAAACACATAAAAAAGTCAATAGAGACCTTGCTGGTCAGATTTAACCTGACGCCGGTAGTGAAAACCACCATGAATGAAGAGAATGTCTCTTCAAAACAATAGTGATAAATCTCTGTGTCTTTGCCTACACCACACTACTCAGGCCATACACATATATACAGAAGAGAAGAAAATAATCTGTATTGTTCTTTTGGTGCTGACATGACACACTGTAAATAGTCCATGTTGACCTTTACTCTAAAATCAAAGAAAGAACCCTATGATATTTTCAAAGAGAAGAGGAATTTACTGTTTTTGTCTTACTGGTTTAGACACTATAGTGTACGAGAAACCCTGTAGTTTATTTATGTAATACGACAAAATGTATTAAGTGTCCTTAAAATTCTGAGGATTGTATTATATTTATACTTTTTATAACAAGCTTGTTCATTTTTCACTGACAATTTACTGTTAATGTACTGTCTTGATCCATCCATCATGCTGGACAATAAACCTGATTTGAATCTACTATACGGTTATACTTGAATGTCTTTGTAAATTAGCCTGGGGACAAGATCAATAAAGGTCAATTCTTTCAGCCCTTTAAAAGCACATTTTAATAAAAACAGAAATTTATCAGAAAGCTGTGCTCCAGAAGGACCAAGACAAATTCAAATGACAGCTGACAAATGTGGTAATGTGATTGAGCTATGTGCATTAATATCAGATCTTAATATTGGTGCATATTAAAGTCAAGTCTTAAGTCATTTGCAACAACTGCATGCCAAGTCTTGCATCTGTGAGAGGAAGTCTCAAGTATTCACAAGCAAATTCCAAGTAAAGATACATGACTTTCAGGTCTCTGAAAGCTGGCCATTTAAATAACACAGCATGTGAGGATGTTTCTTTTGCAGATGTATTATTAGTGTTAGCTGACTCAAAGTCCTAACCTGCCAGATGCCTAATTCAAATATTCAAAGTGCAAGGCAAGCTGTGCAGGGGAAACAGGTCAAAACTTAAGACTTCTGCATTCTCGTGTTTCATGAGTTCAAATCAAGAATCAAGTACTAATTTTGTGATTTGGTCCTACTGTAAGCTCTAATTAATTATCACCTTTGTATCAGAGGTTATCCAAAGGAAAAGAGATGTATAAATAACCATATTTTTGATGCATACAACCAGGGACTCTGAATCCACATTAATTCAGCTTGACTGTCTTCTATTAATAAAATAATCATACATACATATATACTAGATTACAGTAGTGTGTAGTATTAACGTTGTGGAAGACGATTGGTGTGAGGTTTGTACACATTTGAAAACAGCGTGGATGTCATGGCTGGGGTCTCCTGAACCTCTTAGTTGTAGTTATACATCTCAGTCACTAGATGGCAGAAGTCTATGGGTATGGACAGCGGCAGACAGTCGTTTGTTTACACTTGTTGCAATGGCGACCATCACTGAACTGAAGTGCGGTAAGCGCTTTCCATCATTCATGAATTTTTGTCTTAAATAAAGCTAGAGTTGATAAATGACAGCTAATTTTACTGCACACGTTAGTCAAATTGCATGTAACACTGATTAGCTAAGTCGTGTGTAACGTTAACTGTCTCCATTCAAAAATCCAACAACAGCTTTGATAGCCAAGTGGCCCTAACTTAACGTTAACGTTAGTTTTCAGCAAATTGACGCCTTAAAGTGACTCAGATCTTTCTTTAATGCTAAAATGCACACTTCAATTCGGCTTATATACATACAATATAGGTACTACATGAGGTTGTCATGAATTTCACACTGCACGTCAACTTTGCACCATAACGTCAGTTTACATTTAACGTTAGCAAGCTAAGTTAGTTAGCTAGGTTAACTTACTGTTAATCGAAGATGGTGAAATCCAGACACATGTATGTAATCACACGTATTCCGATTTAAAGAGTGGTTTCTAATGACTCTGGTAGGATATAGAGTAATACTGTAAGAGATCCATATCTTTTTCAGCACGTTTGGGAACATTAAATTTGCAAATTAATGAGTGGAGTAAGTTACGGCAACTATTAGAAACAACAGCCTGTTAGGGCAAACGTTAACGTTAACTGTAAGGTAGCTGAATATACCTAGATACCATAACGCAACGTAAGCTCCCGGTTATTTGGTCACCTGAGTTTTTAATCCAATAAAACCTGAATATTTTAGCCGTGAGGGAAACGCTGGAGTCCCGTGGTGTGCTGGGCCAGCTCAAGGCTCGCATCCGGGCAGAAGTGTTCAGTGCCCTGGATGACCAGCGTGAACCTCGTCCGCCACTGTCCCATGAAAACCTCCTCATCAACGAGCTAATCCGGGAGTACCTGGAGTTCAACAAGTACAGATACACTGCCTCAGTACTAACAGCAGGTTGGTGAAAAAAACATACCAGCCTAACTAGTGTTTTCTCGGTTATATAGTGTCTCCTAAATTAGTATGTGAATATTTGAGATTAGGCCGTTCCAAAGCCTGTTAGATTGATCACTTTATGATCAGTAGTTTTATTTAAAGTATAGCAGTCTTTTACTACGTGCTTAGCCTAGGCGTAGGTACGCACGTAGACCCTAGGCCCTACGCAGGAGTATAAATGGGCCTTTAGTTGGATTCAGTTTTCTGTGTAACAGCTTCTACACTCAGCTCTGTTTTTTTCTTAGAGTCAGGTCAACCTGAAGTTCCCTTGGACAGACAGTTCCTGGCAAAAGAGCTGAAAGTCACAGAGGATACAAGCTCCAAGTCTGTGTAAGCCTCTACAGTCTGCTGTCCAAGACAGTGTTCAAATATGTGCTGAACTCTCTGGGGGGTATAATAAGTTATGGGGTAATCAGTCCAAAAGCTCTGGAAATCATCACCATAGTCATAGTTTTACTTGTGTTGTGAAATTCAGCATTTCTCTGTTGGTTCTTAGCTTGGTATATGTGGCTCAGCAGATGCACCAGATGTTGTAGTCTGGCTTGTGTCACTTTCATATCACTGTCTCATTTCCCTCGTACTTACCTCTGTGTACCATCTGGGAAAACCAAAAAACACATAATTAAAAGAAACTGGTACCATTTTAAGAGCATGTACCAATGTGTGACCATAATGACCTGGGTTTGATTATTTGGTCCAGGAGCTTGTCAATCAATCCATTTTCTTTCAGTCCCAGAAGAAAAATGTATATCACAAGTTAAATTTTCCTTTTCATAATTTTCCTTTCCAGGCCTCTTCTCTATGGCTTGGTGTGCCACTTCGTGAACAGCAGTGATAATGGTGGAAAGGTGTTTCTGCGGGGTGCGTCTCTGCCAGCTGGTGCTAGTGCCAGCAACACAGTACCTGGACATGACACCTAGAAGTTAATGCATGAGTCCTGGAATAAAACGATGCTTCTACACTCCAATTATGAAATGTTGCAGCATCTTGTTGGATTTTAATCCTTTTCTCCATGATTTTTCACCGTTCTCTCACCAGAGTGTAATCAACAGGCATTACAGCATGGACTATATTCCTTCTGCTGAGCTGATAAAAAAGGCACAAAGCCTTTGTATTGCTTTATACTGTAAGTTGCCAATGATTCCAGATGGCCTTTTTTTGTTTAGGTTTTTAATAGCTGCCTTTACCAATAGGTTTAGCATCAATCCATATTGCTCATTCTCTGAATAATTCAGAAAAAAAGTTTAAATATCATTCTAGATGTCTTCTCTGTTTGAATTTACAAATGTTTGATACTTTTATATTGTGTTTTAGTTGTTGAACAATAAACGTTTCATATTTATGCACTACGGTGAATCAAAATTCTTTGTGGGAGTGCTATTTTATTGGCTTCCACATGGTGGCAGGCTCACCAAAGATAAAGCTGAAGACTGCTGCTGCCAGAAGATTGAACAGAGATGTTAGGGGCATATCAACCTTATAAAAAAAGGCTCTTTTAATTGCATTAATATTGTGGTTACTACTTACTACTATATTATGTCAGTTACTTTTTATTCAAAACTATTGTAAACTACACAAAGTGTACTGCCTGCAATCAGAACTGTATTTGGAAGTACAGCACGTACTTTTGAGCATGTGCTTTATGTAGTTTTCAACACCTTACAGTTAAATAATGTTGAATAACCTGTGCCTGAAAGACTTTTTTTTTGACATTCAGTTACTTTCCTGTGATTGTCTTAACATGTTGGCACTCATTGTGTTGGTCTGTGCAGCCAAACCCACCCATGTTCCTCCTGCCCCCTTGTGTTTGAGTGTGTCTAAGAAGTATTTACCTCCTACTACTTCCTACTTGACCCTTGTTTGTTTGTAATAGTCAGATACCTCGTGGTCATTAAGATGTATGTTTTGCTGTGTTCTCTGAAGCCTGGGAACCTTATGACCTCCATAATAGCTAAGATAGCAATATTGAAATTATATTAACTGTGCAGGAAAAGAAGTCAAGATACACAAACACCTTCCGTCAGGCAAGCAAGGAAAAACCACCACATGGAGACTCAGTGCTGCACGCACAAAGATCTACTGCAACAAGCCCGTACTCTTTGCATCTCACTTCCTCTGTCACCATTTAATGGAACTTTTTTTTAATCTCACATTACTTTTAAGTTTCTGGAACTGATTATTTATGGGGCTGGCCATTTATTTCTCAGCCTGACAACTGATGCTGGACACAAGTTGCACCCCTTCTACCATCTGCAACATAATCCATGCCTTAAATAAATTGAGGCTTTATTTATCTTTTCTCCTCTGCCAAATCTGCATCTCTCATTCTTGATTGTAGAAGCTTTGAAAGATGAGGTCATTGCTCTCAAATTAGTTCACTGAGAGTATGAGGTAATAATATGATGGAGCGGGTAGCTATAAAGATGAAATGTAACAATTTACCATCAGCACAGTTTGTGCAACAAAATGTAACTTAATACTGAGTCCTAATTTATTGCTTCTTAGTCCCATTAGAAATGATAATGTGTTGTTTAGTGCTGAAAATAGTATCACAGCAAGCCTCATCTGGGACATCTGTTGTAGTTTCCTCAGAGCTAACCTTTTTTTGCCCTTAAAGGCTGTGGCCCTGAGGCGCCCAGTTTATTGGCACCAGATATGACTGTTCTCTTGAAAATGGCTATATAAGCGGAGGAAGTTCAACAATGGCACTTGATTGTTCAATTGGCAGGTTGCCCTATAATAGGTAGCATTTATCCTGCACTGTATAAATTAGTTGTGTGTGAAAGAGACAGCTGTATAAATACTACTGAATTCAGTGGTCATTTGACTACAGCAGAGCGAACTGATGTTTGCCCCTGTGCTCAAATTAGAATGCAATTGCATTCCACGAGGGTCAAACATATCTATAAACATATTTTCTCTTCAATAGATGGCCATCTATGGACATGAGGGTGAAGAAGAACATTAAACATAATGTATGTAAGAAATCTCTGTATTACAGTTCATGCTGTTTTTATTATATATTTGTTCTACCTGTTCTACTGTTGTTGTCATTACGGCCGGTTTAGTTGTAAGTGGTGAACTCCATAAATGAGTTCTTCAACTTCAGTCGAAATTTAGTCATGTATTTTTTTAATATATCAGATAAGATGTTATTTAGATGTATTTTTTTTTCCTTTCAAATGGGATTCACTGATAACTGCTGATTTAACCATCCTTCACCTTTGTGTACATAGACCTTTTATCTATGTACACTCCCACCACCCCCTCTCCTCCTTGCCACTGTCGACTTTTCGTGGGTTTTTTTGCTCTGAGGAATCACATTATTCTCCATCGCAGACAACCAGGGAGTGGACAAATGTTTTGGCCGAAGTTGAAGGTAGACTAATTTTGTCAGCACACGGTGCCCTCATACTTCCACTTCAAGTTGTTTAGGTTCCTATCCTCCGTTCTCCTGGCATGGATCACGACACATCGCATTAAAGAGAAATATATAGATGTGACCTTCTGTCTGACAGCAGTCATAGAGTAATGATCCTGTAATATACCTGTGGGGATTAGCATAGAGAGCGAAGCAGTGACACAAAGTTCAGTGCAATGCAAAAATCATCCAACTGTCTCCATATTATTCAAGAGCAGGAAACTGTAAATAACCTCTTTCATTAAGCATATTTCAAGAAGACCCCTCTTGGACTGACAGCATATTCCCTAGTTGCCTTGTTGTACTGTAAATTTATACGCCATAAATCATTTGTCTGTCACAGCTAACTACAGGTAAAGAAACAACTTTGTTTGTTTGAACAATGCTATTGCTGCTGGACCATATTTAGTCACTGGGGCTCGGGGTGCTTGCCTGTGCTAGACTTTGAAAGTAACACAGAAAGCTGCCGAGATTCCATACAGACCCCACTGTCCTTATATGGCACACACTGCAACCTCTCTCTTCAGTGTATCTGCTGCTTTGCCTCCCTCTCGCTTCCTCCTCCTCCTCCTCCATGTCTGGGTCTCCATCCCTCCCTCTGCTTTGTCTCTCACCCTGTCTCTACCTGAGTTTTTCAACACTAGTTCCCCCTTTGTTAACGCCACCCCGCCTCCTTGATGGTGGCCAGAGGAAGCCCTGGGGTCCTCCATGTTGGTCTTTGTTCTGTCATCAGGTTTCACACACTCACACACAAACACACATACACATACCGGTTCAGTGCTGTGCCTCTCTGGCAGAAAACAGGCCTCGGCCATCGACCAGAAGCTTGATTTATTGGAGCAAATAGATTGGTGCCCTTATATAGGAAGTTCCATTGGAAAGACGCTGGAAACAGGGGGAGGCAGCAGGGAGAGGGATGGAGGACTGTTTGTGATAGTGGAATGTGATGTGCGTAATGATAGAAGACATGTGGGATGTACAGACACACACAGAAATGCTTGTGTATTTGGGGGGGAATCTCTTGGAGCGGTCACAGTAAAGGGGGATTCCTGTGCTGGGAACAGCTTGCCTTATGAGGAGTGGGAACAAATTGCATAATCTGTAAACCCTACAGGGTGTGAGATTAGAGCATGTAACCACTAGGTTTTAGTGATTGTGTCTACATCATATAATAGTGATGCATTTCTAGTTTTAATTTAAATGTTTTATACTGTATGAGCCTGAGCAAGGCAAAAATTATAATAGATGCTAAAACTGAAAACATTAAAGATGGCTGAATTCCATTGTGCATGTTGGCTCTCTTATATATAATATATATAATAGAACAGAGCCATCATTAATGTTATTAGTAACACTTGTGCTTATCTTCCCATAACAAGTCAAAATGTCTGCTGTGATAAAACTATTACAAGTAAAAGTCTTCCGTTCAAAATGTTACCTAAGTAAAAGTACAAAGGTTTTATCTTCAAAATGTATTTAAAGTACCAAAAGTCCTGTGAACCCTGCTGTGAAATATTACCATATGTTTTATTAACTGATTATTATTACTGATTAATCAACATGTAAGCAGTATTTTAATGTTGTGGTGGCTCATGCAGAATTTTTTTTAATAGATGCTACACTGTTTAATCTATTTAAAAAAACATCACATTTTTAATCTCATAATGTGCTTTGCAAGTGAAATCTTAACCTGGAATGTAGTAACTAGAACTAGCAGAAGGATAAAGTAGCATAAGATGGAAAACAAAGTGCAAATACCTCAACTTTTTACAGTACTACAGTGGTCATTCATAATTTACATTGTGTCCCATTTAATTGTAGCCTATTTTAATTTTTAGCAACATTTTATCTGCAGGACTCTCCATTCAGCACCTCTTCATTCATATTATACCTTCATCAAAACTGCTAGCGTCCGCAGTGCGCATGTCCTCTGCCTCCTGCTCTGCTAATGGATGCTGCCTGCCGCTGGACGATGCTGGAGGAGGAGGAGGAGGGCCAGCTCGTGCAGCTCCACCCTCGCGCAACAGTGGGCTGTTTAAATGCTAAGACTCTGAATTTGACGGGGGTCATTTGGACTGTCCGTTTTTGGAGTACCTTGTCAACGCCAAACCCGAACTTTCAAAACCCGAAGCCTCCCTGAACACACATTTCTTCACATCATGTAAGTATCCTTTACAAGAGAGTGTCGTTGCACGAGTGGTGGTGCTGTAGCTTGGTGCACTTGTCACCCCTAACACACTTTGCTAACTTTAACTGCATTTGAGATAGAGATAGAGGACTATATGTCATAGAACATACAAGAAAAACTTTAATATTCCTGTAGTGGTATTAAACATTAGTTAGGCTAGAAAATTATTAGCTTTACCTAATCAGCTTATATTTTTTTGGCTGTATCGTTTTAGTCCATCGTTAATGAGAAAAGAAAAGGTAATTTGGGTCCCAGACAGGCCTACATGTTTTTAATCAAGTGCATTAGACAGTGAACTGGTTGAAGCCTACACTGTAAAAATGCATGTACAGGAAGTTAGGTCTGAATGTCTCTGTAAAGAAACGGGCATGACTCTAACCATGGAGTTTCCTGTTTCCCAAATATGGTTGTTTAAAGCTGCTTGTCTGCTGAGCTGTTGTGGCTGAAGATGCAGAGAAGTGAGTCCTCCTGACAGTTCTAAAAAGTAACCAATGAAACCTATCAGTGATGGTTTTGAAAGAGATTATTTAATTTTATTGTTTCTTCTCTCCATAATTATGGACCTTAATGACTAGTATTTAGCTCTAACAGTCAGTCTACATATAAAATGTGCATTAGCCCAAAGAAACAGCAGCATTACTCTCATTTAACTTCTTTAAAATGACAATGGCTTCGACTACCTAGAAAGGGGCACTTGGACATGGAAAATGGAAAAACTGATTTAGGCAAAGATGCCCACAGTTTGCCACAATG